TGATATTTTGTGTTTCATAAGGACTTACTCAATCAGAAAGCATTGTTTCCAAAACTGTGAAATAAAATTGATCTAAATCTGATTAATGGCCTAAACCTTATTCACTGGTTATACCCAAATCTGTGATCCAGTGAATGGCCGGCTGTTTAAACGTGTAATGGTCAGGGTTTCGACCTTGGAATGAGTAAAGAATTGAACCTTTACATATTACAATACAGTGTGGAAGAAGTTAGTGTTAGTAGTGTAAAAGATTTTATGTGTTAAACTATTTAGTATTGGTGACAAAATGGCACTAATTTAAATTTATTATTTGTAATGCGGCTATTGCCATATTATTCAAGCATCATACTTATGTAAAGGTTTTTCCATTTTTCTCAAAAATCACAAATCCAAACTTCCGTTGCAGAATGAAGGCTTATTCAGAGGTTTCATCTCAACGAGCCTGTACTATTGCTATTGGAAATGTAATGAGCGTTTTGAAAATGACAATAAAGTTTAAATATAAAAAATCTTAAGTGCACTTATGGCCGTTTTATATATGGCCATACAATATGGCAAATACAAATAGTTTGAAACAATATTAATCTGTCCGCTATTCCCTACCTGTGAGGGTATGAAAATCAAAATTAGTGCCATTTTGTCAATACTAAGTAGTTTAACACATAATAATTTTTAACACTAACTTCGTTCTACACTGTATATTACAGTTTCCAAAAATAATCAAAAACCATGACAGATACAATCAACCTTGATTGTACTAGACTAAAATGGCAGTCAACCTTTTGTGGCACACCAGGATGATTGACACTTTCTTTTTGAACCAATGATAGGGTAGATTTCCATCAGGCTCCAAAGTAGCTTTTAACAATTTGTGATAAATTAAGCAAAATAAAAAAGTGGACATGATATTTTATACGGAATGGTAATTCACTGGTGCACTCACCTTACGAATCATACATTATCTTTTTTATATTACAACCTTAAATACAAATGTTTCACAATGTTCTTAATTGTTTAACTAATCCTAAATTATTTATTTTAACCCGAGTTCCATAACTTTAAAAGCTGGTACTAAATTGGCCTAACTTTCCTTGTATTTCGGAATAGAATCTGTGCTAGAAGGAGATATGTATTTGGGTATAGCTAAAGAGCTATCTATAGAATTCAGAACAATAATTTCCATTTCTGATATAACTCTGCAGTGTAATAATCCTAACTCAATTATTGTTGTAATCCACTTTGGGGTAAACCACCAGCTCCATTTTGAAGATACTTGTCTAATAGTTACGACGAGCAAGTTTAGTCTTGATGATAAATGTTCGTGGCGAAAATCAAAGGCAATAAAAGAAATATTTCTTCCTTTGTCAGTGTAAAAATGTTGATGACATTTGTTTACAAAATTTTAACAATGAAAACTTTAACCACTGTAACAATCCTGTTTGTAGACTAACCGTCTTTAATTAGTATACAACAGTAGAATATATTCATATTTGAGATTAAAATATAATTTTACCTTTTTATAGTGTTTTTATTGTTTCTTGCTATTTCCCAATTGTTTTTGCTTAAAGTAATTTTGCCAACAAGCTTTTTAAATTATTTGCTATTGTATATTTCATATAAATTTAGCTTTCTGTAGTTCTTTGTTAAGTTATTTTTTTCTCTTATACTCACTATATTTGGCTTGGTACCCGTTTCATTCACAATCCTTCGAAACAATAACCGCGCTAGAGATGTACCATGATTGAGTAAACCAACGACACTTTAGGAATTATAAAACATTTATTATCAACATATATAAAAATTGAAAGCTATTTAACAGAGGGTGCAGAGGTGGATGGAGCGGAGACCTGTTCAGTAGGCGGAAGTTGTTGGTTTGGGAGGAAGTCAACATAGACAGATTTCCGGGGACTGGAGTCTAGCTGGAACACGATCTCCTTGAATGAAGGTCGGTCGTCTGCAGACTGACTCCAGCAAACCTCCATCAGCGAGTGTCTAGATTAACAAGTCATTTTAGATGTGGAGTAAATGATACTACAGTGAAATAAACAATAAGAGGGAACCCGTTAAGAAAATACACAAGCACTTCAGTTTATAAGTTGTGGAACTTGGCATCACTATTTTGTTAAAGACAAATTTCTCAAAACGTTTTGGAATATAGGTTTGACCTCTTCTTAAGGTGGGGCAGAACCTAAGTCAATATTACTGCACTGGCCAGGTTAAAGCTGGAAAATCACAAAAGACAAACCAATTAAAATACAACAGTCAGACCAAGAGAGGAAATTCGTGATTGAAAAAAAAACAATCAAAGGGTTGCCGGTCCAATCCTGAGAAAAGTCTGTATCTTTTTAAAGGACCATCAAAACTGTACCCAGCCTGATCATTGGGCTAAAGAAACAGCTGATCTTAGTCAGTAACAAAGCTACACAGATCATAACAACTCATTCTACACCCATTCTTCACTTATATTTGGGTTGAAATACGCTCATATGCAGCGCCCCCATCTCAATTGGTAATAATAATAATAGCCTCAAAACTTTAACCCGTGTAGTAAAAAACATGTGTCTTCAATTCTTTATTATTGTTTTGTTGTGTTTGTAAACAAGTCCATTATAATTCAATGTAGTATTGTTCAAGTTATTAAAAACCTTTCTAAAGGTAATAAAAGTTCTTTTCATTCATTCTTACTCTCATTACAATTTTAATAACTTGAACAATACTACATTGAATTATAATGGACTTGTTTACAAACACAACAAAACAATAATAAAGAATTGAAGACACATGTTTTTTACTACATTCTTCCTCCCTAATGTTAATGAACGTAGTCATTTAAATAATTAGGAGGTCTTCTGCTTCTGAAACTTCTTCTCGGATATGTGTTATGGTTCTCTCCTCTAGAAGCTTCTTGTCTAGGTTGTAAATTCTCGGCAGTAGTATTCATGCAAGTATTAAAGTAGTCTTTGGTGGTAACAAGTCACAACTAACCGTATGTAGCGTGGCAGCCTCAACTGTAGAACCGGTATCTTTGTTTTCTAATTTAAAACCGGAATGTAAGCCAATCGCAATCAAGTATCATCGCCATAGCACCGATGATTTAAAGTTTATTGAAAACGAAGTAAGTAAATTGCTTAAAGACGATGTTATAGAGCCTAGTATGTCTCCATGGAGGGCTCAAGCATTAGTAGTTACCACTGAAAATCATAGAAAAAGAATGGTCATTGACTACTCCAGGACTATAAATCGTTTTACATTACTGGACGCTTACCCACTACCTAGAATCGATGATATCGTTAACAAAGTTGCAAATTATGAGTTTTTCAGTACTATCGATTTGAAAAGTGCGTACCACCAAGTAAAGATAAGAAATGAAGAAAAGCACTACACAGCTTTTGAGGCCTGTGGTCAACTCTACCAGTTTAAGCGTATCCCGTTTGGGGTCACTAATGGGGTAGCAGCATTCCAACGTGTAATTGACCAAGTCATCCGAACAGAACAGTTACAAGACACTTACGCCTATCTTGATGATGTCACAATCTGTGGAAAAACACAAGAACAACACGATATAAACTTAAAAAAGTTTATCGAAGCTGCATCCAAATACAACCTAACTATTAATAATGAGAAGTCTTCATTTTCACTGCGATCGATCAACTTGTTGGGCTATCATATATCAAACAAAAATATCAAGCCTGACCCCAGTCGCCTAGATCCTTTGAAAAATTTACCTCCACCCAGAGACACCGCATTACTGAGGAGGACCCTTGGTATGTTTTCACATTATGCATCACTTATACCAGATTATGCTACCAAAGTGATTCCACTTGCGCGTACTACATTCCCTTTGTCCAAAGCAGGGCTCCAGTCTTTCGAAACTATAAAAAGTGAAATCATCGGATCTGTAGTAAGCTGCATTGACCCTGAAGCACAGTTCATTGTAGAAACTGATGCATCTGAGAGTACCATTGCTGCTACTTTGACTCAATCGAACCGTCCAGTCGCATTCTTCTCAAGGATACTTTCTCCAGCAGAACAAAGACATTCAAGTGTCGAAAAAGAAGCACAAGCTATTGTGGAAGCACTGCGGAAATGACTATTTGGTTGGTAAACATTTCAAGCTGATTACTGACCAGAGGTCGGTTTCTTTTATGTTCGATAACAACCGTCATGGCAAAGTGAAAAATGAAAAGATAATGAGGTGGAAACTGGAATTGTCATGCTTTCATTATGATATTGTATATAGACCCGGTAAAGATAATATGGCTGCAGATGCCCTGACTAGAGTATGTTCTTCAATCCAAAATCAAGAAAAACTGTTGATTGATTTACATGCGAATCTATGTCATCCAGGTGTGACACGTTTGTACCACTGGGTTCGAAGTAAAAACTTGCCCTACTCGATTGATGAAATCAGACGAATAACAAACTCCTGCAATGTGTGTGCTGCTGTGAAGCCTAGATTCTTCAAACACAAAGGGATTTTGATTAAAGCCACTTCTGCATTTGAACGGCTGAATATCGATTTCAAAGGCCCGCTGCCTTCATCAAGTCGAAACCGTTACTTATTAGTAATAGTAGACGAGTTTTCACGGTTCCCTTTCGCTTTCCCTTGTTCAGACATGTCATCGTCAACAGTTAAGTCGAAACTAAAAACATTATTTTCTACTTTTGGGGTTCCTAGTTACATACATTCGGACAGAGGAACATCATTTCTGAGCCAAGACTTAAAAAGCTACTTGAACTCACTTGGAATCTCAACTAGTAGAACCACTGCGTACAATCCAGCAGGTAATGGGCAAGTTGAAAGGTATAATGGCATTCTATGGAAAACAATTGAACTGGCGTTGAAATCACTTAACTTAGAAATAAACCAATGGGAGACAGTTTTAGAGGATGCCCTCAGCTCAGTGAGATCATTACTTTGGACAGCCACAAATCAAACTCCTCACGAGCGTATGTTCTTACATCCACGTAGATCTGGGAACAATGGTGTTTCAGCTCCTTCATGGCTTCTCAATTCCGGCCCTGTCTACTTGAAGAGATTCAATCGTACGTCCAAGTATGAGCCACTTGTTGAAGAGGTCCAACTTCTTCACGGGAATGCCGAGTATGCTCATGTTAAGTTGTCTGACGGAAGAGAAACTACCGTGTCTACACGTCATCTTGCTCCGGTTGGTGAGTACCAAACAGACATAGAGCAAACCGATTTTGAGAGTGATGAAAATATTCTATTACCCACTTCTCAACCTGAACCTGAATACTTTCCTAGTCCATCATCAACACAGAACCAAGAAGATGAAATGAATACTACTGCCGAGAATTTACAACCTAGACAAGAAGCTTCTAGAGGAGAGAACCATAACACATATCCGAGAAGAAGTTTCAGAAGCAGAAGACCTCCTAATTATTTAAATGACTACGTTCATTAACATTAGGGAGGAAGAATGTAGTAAAAAACATGTGTCTTCAATTCTTTATTATTGTTTTGTTGTGTTTGTAAACAAGTCCATTATAATTCAATGTAGTATTGTTCAAGTTATTAAAAACCTTTCTAAAGGTAATAAAAGTTCTTTTCATTCATTCTTACTCTCATTACAACCCGAAAATACATGATTCTTGTGTTGCCTTCTATATAATGTTACTCAAACCTTCACTACAGTTTCATCATTTATTTCTGCCATTTTTAAACAAAGTCATACTATCTGAGCAATCATATTCTAAAAACTCTTACAATTCGTCGGAGATGTTGTCCGGTTTCTCAAGTCTTTTCCCAGAAAGAAGAAACGCTAAAAGCTCGTGGTCTGACACGGTAGGGTATGGAAAACCTCCTGTAACAAAACAATGGTAAACGAGGCAAGCTGTGAAATGTCAAGCCTTTTAGGAAAATACACACCAAGAAAGGCTTTCTAGTTTAGTCACGTGTCACACTGTGATTTAGCTCTGTGAAACTTACGATATTAAGACGAGACATAAATTTACTTTAATGTAAATAAGCACGAAATTTCACTGAGAATAGTGGTTAAGAACTACTAAGATTTTCACTAAATACTTATCAAAGTGTTAAAATTACATTTCATAAGTTATTAAATGAGGTGGGTGTTCGTCAAACAAGACAGTTCGTTAAACATTATATCTTTAATAATCTGTAAAATGATCACGAGGGAAGTTAATTCAAAATGAAAATACTTCATTGGCATAACTACTTTTAGATCCATTTTTGAGGTAAACCTACTCACTGCACTGTACAGGTTCATTGTGCACAGTCATAGAACGAGACAGTGTGCATTTACATCTTAGTGAAGGTAAGGACATCTAGACTTATCTCCTCTAAAATTTTATAGTGTACTTTTACAGTGTAGTGGTTCAATTTTGATTAATCCCGCAGGAAAACGCTAAATAATCCAGACGTCACTCTCGCTCTCACTAGACTGTGCCTTTTCTACATTAACCCAGTGATCAGACAACGCCAAAATGTCACTATTCCTAGCCCCTCTCTTACATAGACTTTACCAGTCTCACAATTTCCCAGAATATGATATCAAAAGTCTATATGTATGACTTTTCTCTCACTTAGAATTTAAAAATTATTAAATAATTATTCTTGAGTTATTCTCTCAGAAAATGAGGTCAGCAACTCTAGTCATACCCAGTGTTAAGCAACTCCCTGTTGAGAGTCTGCCTCTACCGATACATACCTAGTTAAGCAACTCCATGTTGAGAGTCTGCCTCTACCTATACTTACCCATTGTTAAGTAACTCCCTGTTGGGAGTCTGCCTCTACCTGTACTTACCCAGTGTGCCAATCTCCCAGAGGACAACACCAAACGCCCAAACATCACTCTTGCTGGAGTAGAGACTGTCCCTCATTGCTTCAACAGACAACCAGCGCAGAGGTACTTTGCGTCTTTTGGTGTTGACGTAGATGCCCGACCTGGACAAGCCGAAGTCGGAGATCTTGAGAGTTTTCCTCTCGTCTATCAGAATGTTCCTGGCAGCCAGGTCTCTGAAACAATTATTTTGTTACTTTTTACTCTATGCTTTGTTAGTACATGATTCGAAGTTAATTCTTAACCGGGAAAACTCGAGTAGGAAATATTAACGTAAAAACTAGAATTTATCAATTACATGTATTTGTATATACAAAACTATTAATTTCAAATTTGCTTTGACATAAGACATGTTTATTTCCAGTAGACTTATTACAAATGTATTGGAAGAGTCAAACATTATTGTATTGGTCATGTAGAAGTGAGAAACATTACTTTATAATTGTTAATCATCGAGTAAGATGGAATAGATATCGCCAGAGAAGATCCGCAGGGTGGTGAGCCAATATACGAATAATTAATTGTTGTCAATTATATTTATACGATATAATTATCGTTCAGTTTGGTAAGATAAAATAATTTACATATAACGCAAATTATTACATGATAGCTGCACTATTTATGGAAACCTAAATTCAATTAAATTTTATTTTATTTCTAAAACTAGCTACAACTCTACCATGGAGATTAGTTAAATGATTTTTACGTTGTTGTTTTCTATTAAGAAGATTCAACAAGCTCTCTGTTACATACAGAGTGTCCCGGATCTCTCTACCAATATTTTAGGGCATTGCTCCTGAGTAAGAAACATATACAAAAATCATATTTAAATAGCCTGGAAGTCCTTAGTTACTCAAATAGCCACCATTTTCTTTCACTTAGTATTTTTTTTTTGTGGTTAAAGATACGAAATTTAAACTTTGCACAAACATTTATGACAACTATACAAAGCTACAAAAAGTAATGAAGTTTTTCAAATTCATTAAACAAAATGGTGGCAATTTAAAATTCAGTAAAATTGTATCATTTCAATTTAATTTTGTTTGTATTTATTTAAGTTTTTTTTTTATTTTGTTTCTGAAATTGCTCATAGACCGTTGATTTTACAAAAAAATGTGTCATAATTTTTATAGCTTTGTCTAATTGTCATAAATTGTGGAATTGTGGTACAACGTTTCAATTTCGTATCTTTAATCACATTTTAGAAAAATAAATAAATAAGTGAACAACAAAATGGCGGCTGTTTGAGTAACTAAGGACTTAAATATTATATTTAGATATGTTTCTTACAACATTCGCCCATTTCTCAGGAACAATGCCCTAAAATATTGATGGCGAGTTTCACGACACCCTTTATATAAACTATAGATACAATCATACTAAATTTTAACTACATAAAACATTTAATTATTGCTAATATACCTATGAGTGATTTGTTTAGCTTCCAAGTATGACATTCCTCTGGCTATCTGAGAAGCGAAGCTGTGCAGTTCCCTGGGATCAAGCACTACCTCTAGTGTAATCCCGTCCACAGCGATACTGCTCATAGCACCTAGTCACAAAGTAAATGATTTTTAAGCATTTAGAATATCATCCTATCAAATTATATTGAGATGCCACTGTGCTTGTTTTAACCGAGAAAAATATAAGGATAAATGTAGAATGGCGTGGAGGTTCCTTGTGGAGATTTGTTCCTGGCAATGACAGGTGTTTCTTACGCCAGGACCTCCTACTTTAACGCCAGTTTATCAAGGATAGGTAGGTTCAATTTCGATTAATCCAAAGAGTCACTGACCTGTTTGGGCATCTTTAATTTGAGCCTCTCCCGTATTACTGGACGGTCATTATTTTGACGCAAAGACAAGGCTTTATCAAATATATATTAATGTATTTATTACAACGTGATACTTTAGTTTGGGGTAATGTAAACACACCTAAAAATTGCATTACAGACAAAAAATGTCGTGATTTTTATCATATAAAAAATACGTAGATATGAGTTTCAAAGGATGATGATGATTTGTTTGGCTTCTGGGGTCATCAAACATACAATTTAATCGATCCTAGGTCTAGTTCCCACAGGTCTAATAGAATACTGTGAGGACAACGGTAAAATAATATTCGCAATAATAAAGGAAAATCTCAGGATTTTATTTTGCTTTTTGTCAAAACCGCACATTAAAGTCTCAAAGCTCTGAACCTATTAAATCTGAGTTCATTTACGATTAATTTCCCTTCAACGTCCTTTACAGTTTTATCATGGTCATCAAATAAGACTTGTTGTTTCACAAAGGATTATCCCTAAACATTCAACAGACTGCAACTGGACTTACAAAGCCTGTTGAACGATTAAGCTACAAGCCATTTAAGCCATTGGGCTTCATGATATGTCGAGAAAGATTTGGATCTGATTTACCAACACCGTATTTTTCTTTTCGTATTTAATGTTTAACCCCTTTTACAAAACAACTTAATACTCTCGATTAAGACACCGCAATAGTTTACTTGAATAATAGATGTATTTGAATTAACCATTCATGCTCAAACATTACTTAGAAGTCATATGGGAGGTTTATCAAATTAATGACTTGATAGCTTAATCTAACTATTGTTCCACATTTTGAGTTAAAACCTAATCGTTTATACAGCGTGTTATGATACTCTCTTCCGTAACTCCATGGTCATGTTCCTTAGGTAAAAGGTATATATCACATAAACATATGCCCTATCTCACCCTATTTTTACTTAACTTCCTATAGCTTTGGAACCACTAGAGGTACCAACTTTAAACATAGTACGTATATGATGACTAATAAGAACTATTCCTTTGCAAAACACCAAGTTCATACATTGTATAATTTCAAAATGGCGGCCTTTTTAATATTTGAAAGCTTAATTACTAAAAACCTATAGGATTTATAAAAGATTTTCAAATGACAAAAAGCATGGGAATTTATATTAATTCACTTTACAGAAATGTATAATTTTAATAGGGTTATAACTCAAGTAACGAAGAGCAATAAGATGTTCTCAAGTTTAAACTAAATATTTGGGCAAATTTAATGAATTAGCAGGTAACCTTTATAAAAATTAAATTTTCTCTGTTATTTTTTTTATAACTCTATACAAATTATACATTTCTGTAAAGTGAATTACATTTCCATAAATTTTGTTGCTTGTAACATTTTTATAAATCCTATGGGTTTTGAGTTATTAAGCATTGTAAATTAAAAATGGCCACCATTTTGAAATTATACAAGGTAGAAACTTGATGCTTTCCAACAAAATTTGTTCCTATTAGTCGTCATTCACGTACAAAGTTTATAGGTAGTACCTATAGTGGTTTCAAAGTTATGTATGGGAAGTTATGGGAAGTTAAAAATACATACACACTGACGGATGGAAAATGAGGCGAGATAGGGAATAATATGTTTATATGATATTTTTTGTTTGTTTTTACCTAAGGAACATGCCCACGGAGTTTCAGGAGAGAGTTTCGAAACTTCTGTATAAGATTTATGTCAAAGCATAAAGTACTTTTATTTCTAAATGATAAACACATGGTATTATTTCTCCTACACATGGTATAATGTCGCAAACTATTCAGATATATTAAATTAGTTTTGATACTAATTATAGTACTTACACAAAGATTTAAGACAGTTTAATTGCCCATAGCTATTCTTAGGTAGAATTCCCATGTGAACAAATACTTCTAAACACATTTGGTTTCAATTCTGTTTAGCTTGCAATCTAATATAAAATCGTCTTGTATGTAATGATATGCCACTCCCACACACAAGTAATTTTGTGGCGGAGTGAACGTAATTTTGGGTACTTTCCTGTTAATTGGAACATTCATTATTATCGATGATTTTTTCGATATATGGATTTTTCCCCTTTACGATATATTACAAATTGACAGCTGATATTTAGGCTAAAATATAGTCTATTATATGGAAAGAAATGAATCTGTTCTAAACTAACCTAACATAACCAACCAAACTAGCTGTACCATTTAAAAATTCCGTTTGATAACAGAAAAGGCGAGTGGAGAATATTAAATGGAGTTTTTAAATGTTACAGCAAGTTTGGTTAGTTTTGTTAGGTTAGTTTAGAACAGTTTTATTTCAATATTTTTTTAAATTTTTGTTTGTCGATTCTGAACAAAATTTATTTATCGTAGTAACTACGATAAACAACTGTTGTCAGCTGATATGTTTCAATTTGTTAATATCGATATATCGAGAAAAAAATCATCGATAATAATGAATGTTCCCTTTAACAGGAAAGTACCTAATTTTGTTTCTAAGATCAAAGTCTTTCTGTTGATAAAAATAATCAACATTTGGGTCATACAGTATTTTCATTTTCTCTTCAATTACTAAATCAAATATCATCTGAGAGAAAAAAACATTCTATTAATATATATATATATATATATATATATACATATATATATATATATATGGGTTATATATTGTGATATATTATTTGACACATTTCAAGATTAAATAATTATGCTAGTTAGAAACATGTGTAATATTTAATTAAATAGCAAATTCAAAGCAGATTTATACACTAACTACAATAAAAAGTATTTTAAAAATGTCAGTAATTATAAAAAGTAGTTATGAGAAGTCTATAAAAATCACTAAAACTGTTGTTGTAAGTTATGTTTTCTTCTGAGTTGAGGACCTTTTAAACTAGGCCTATATGTTAGACACTTTCCGTTCGTTCATGGAACCAATCCTGCTTCATGAAACCAAACCTGCTTCATGAAACCAAACCTGCTTCATGAAACCAAACCTTCTTCATGAAACCAAACCTGCTTCATGAAACCAAACCTGCTTAATGAAACCAAACCTGCTTCATGGAACCAATCCTGCTTCATGAAACCAAACCTGCTTCATGAAACCAAACCTGCTTAATGAAACCAAACCTGCTTCATGAAACCAAACCTGCTTAATGAAACCAAACCTGCTTCATGAAACCAAACCTGCTTCATGAAACCAAACCTGCTTCATTGAACCAATCCTGCTTCATGGAACCAATCCTGCTTCATGAAACCAAACCTGCTTCATGAAACCAAACCTGCTTCATAAAACCAAACCTGCTTCATGAAACCAAACCTGCTTAATGAAACCAAACCTGCTTCATGAAACCAAACCTGCTTAATGAAACCAAACCTGCTTCATGAAACCAAACCTGCTTCATTAAACCAAACCTGCTTCATGAAACCAAAGAACACACTTCGATTTTTCCTGCACAATAATCATTTTGATACTGAGGCCAGTTTAATGTTTGATTCGTCAAATAAATACACGGCTGGTGTAGAATAGTTATTTGTGTAACTAGTGGTGAAAGTGGCACTTTGCTGCACGCGGCGAGTGCGGAATGATCTCGAGTGCAGCAAAGGCCTTTTTCACTCGTGTTACACATTATATTTTTCCTACAGTCACTATAAAACATATAAATAATTAGTCTTTCAAACACTATACGACACGTTTTTAGGTTCAGCTGGCAACACAAATGGTGCCTTAGAGAAAGTAGTACCCGCGGTCCGTATCACTCCGCTATTTTTCCTCGGCAAGAAATGTGCTCCGCGTTTTGAGAATATAGTTCCGTATGTTTTTGTAATTTGAAGTGGTTTCCACGCCTTAAAAAATGCTTTAAAGGCATTTTCTTGTTTATTAAAATCGTAGGAATGTTTTAAAAACGTTTAAAAGAAAAGTCCAGAAAGTTCAGAAATACCGAAACTATAAACACGAAATGACAGGTTAAATCGTAGTTATAATAGTCAATCAGCTGCTCATAGTATTATTATCTTTAAGTGTTGCCAACCTATTTCCAAGCGTACACGGATTACGTGCATAATAGAACCACGCTGTTTTGTGTTGTTTCGTTGGAATCCTGATGTGCGGCAAAGTATAAACCGTACGGCAAAGTATAAACCGTACGGCAAAGTATAAATATGCAGCAATTAGCAGCTTTCTGTACTATAAACAGTACAAGGAAGCCAACTTTGTCGGGTGACTGTAGGAAAAGGTATATTGTTGGCCAGATGACTATTATTATGTCACAACACCAAAAATAAAACATAGCTTAAACTCAGAGTTTAGATCATTTTTATAGACTTTTATAACACTTTTTATAATTACTGAAATTTGTATAATTAATTTTTCTAGTTACTGCAAAATCTGCTTTAGATTTGCAATGAAACCATTTCAATGTTTCTAAGTTGCTTGATTATTTGTTCAAATAATCTTAAAATGAGTCCAATAATTTATGACCACTCTGTATATATATTTATTGAACTAAGTGAACTAAGCTCTTATACAACGATTCTTGTTTATTAGCAAATTTCCCTATAGGGAAGTAGCTATTACCGTAGGTGGCACGGTAAGACCTAGACCCGGGACCGATTTACTTTTTCATTTTGATGTCCCCAGAGGCCAAAAACACTATTCGTTAAAATTTTTATATATGTATTTATATATATATATATATATATATATAGACTTATATATATATATATATACGTCCGTGAACGCGATAACTTGAGTAATTTTTGTCCGATTTTGATGAAATTTGGTTTAAAGGTGCAAAGCGGGATAAACTTGAATGAGTTCGCGAACCAGCACGATCGGACCATGGGAACGGGGCTTTACGGGGGGTTTTATGGGGTAAAAATTGGTTTTTCTCACTTTTGCCCCTCAAAACACAAAATTTCCCAATTTCTGTTTAGAGCTTTTTAAAGAGCTTAAAAAAACAAATAATTTAGTATATAAAAGTATTTTTGTTCAATTATTAGTAACGGAGAAAATTTAAAAATTGTAAATTTAAAATTCCCATGTTATTCTTATGGAGAATATTGTCAAATGTTGTAGTTTGCTTGTTTATGAATATATTTTGATCAAACTTGTCAAATTTATTTATTTTGTACTAAGCTATCAATATTTTACTCAAAAACACACTTTATTTGTTTCCTTGTAGCAGAAAACCTAGGTACTCGTTAAACCTAATGTTATTAAAATATAATTTAACTGAAAATCAATTCAGACAAATGGAAATTCGCTTAGTCGGCAGGTTTGCTGCGGCGGGGGTATTTCGTAATAAGCAAACGCCTCCTAGACGGCTGATCAATCATTTCAACATTTGCATGGTGATGAAGGGGAGGTGAGTGCCAAAGTTCTCACAGCAAAGCTACTCACAGGAATTTGCCCCACGGGGTCTCAAAGTTTCAATATTATCCTTATAGAAGCAGCATTTTACACGTAAACAAAGGAATAAAATCAACTGTACTTAAATTTAGTAGGCCTACATCAGGAAACGCTGATAAATTATTGTAACAGTTAATCACGGATATTATAAAAGAAACTGTATGGATCATTAACATAAACAAAATACGTCATTCACTCAAACCTTATACTAAAGGCATTAAAGTAATATGTTTTTAACGTTTGTTGACAGTTCCAATCAATAATAATAGAAACATGTTTATTTTCGGACAAAAGTGACATCATTTTATTTTTATGAGCAATACCGTTACTGTTCTAATATTCGTGCTGTTAATAATCTTGTTATGTACAGCATTATTTTAGCGTGCTATTAACATTTTTGTTTCAGGTTGAACATGATTCATAATTATCACCTACTAAACAAGTTAATATTTACTGTTTTATGTAGCAGTGTTACATTAGTTTTATCTTGAAAACTAAACATTTAAATGCTGTAGAGAAAAGTTGAAACTCCTTACGATTCACATTATAAAAATACGACATAATTGAACAGCACTCTCCAAGACTTCTATAAGAAATCTTATTTGAGTTTTTTATAGGAGCATATTGTAGTGATAAATTGGTTTCAATGAAAACCGTATTACGTTCCACGAGCCACGTTCGACCGATGGGTGGGTTATTTATCAGCCCAGGCTTTCCCAAGGAACGACTAGAGACTATTGCAAAAGTTCTGACTGGACACATCAACACATGAAAAAGTCGATAATCAACGTTTAATTTAGTTCATGAAAATTAATTTACTTACTAGTTTAATCTACGAAATTGGTTTATTATTTTATTTCTTTTAGTTCTAAGGGTGTCAGATATAAGGGAATGCCTTTCGTGTTTCCATTTATACCCTTACCATCTCTTACAGGTAAACGTGTATGCACTAATCAGTCACCAAAACGGTAGAAGCCGAAACTATTTTGGTTGAATTCTGTGCTATCACGAAACTGTATCACAAGGAGGAAAATGCATATACCACCGCATCGGTTGTAAGCTTAAAATGTAATTGCAGGTCTTTGAAAATACATATAATGACACAACTGTGTTTTATACTTCCGTTCACTTGGGACAATGAGAAGCTGTTTTGATCAACAATCACTTCATTAAAAATTCCATAATAATTTTCTCTACACAAATAATGTCTCGATTTCAAATTGTAGGTAAAGATAATAATGAAGCTTGGTGGTGAGTGCCAATGAATAATAAAATAATGCCCTGATAGCTCTGCTCAATTGTGTGGACGCCACCTAGGACGCTCTGCGAACACCACCTAGTTTTATTCAAACCATAATTTGCAAATCCATCCCATAGGAATAGTATCCTAAATTAGCACACCTCAATGGTATCAATGGTACTGTACTGAATATAAAAACAGCTGTTGTTACTGAATAACAACAGCTGTTTTTATATTCAGTACAGTACCATTTATTAAACTCCCAATGATGAAACACAGCTGAGCTGGATCCAGTTTCAAAACCAATAATAACTACTGACTAGTAGGATTCAATTGGCGATATTTTAATTGCTAGAAAATAACAATAACCCCTCAGATACCTAACTATAATTTTAAATATCATTTTACTAATTTTTCATAACATCCTTTTGAATTTCCAAAGAACTATATCAATTGAATATTCTATTCCATGTCAATTGAAATGCTCAATACATTAAGCTGGCACTCAACGAGCATACGGTTTAAGTCAAACTGAGGTTAAAATCCTACACTGAGTCCTTTCATCCCTTAGATAACATTTCAACCTTGTAGGGGATGAAAGGAGCTTAACTATTGTGTGTTCAATCTTACTTTGCCACAAAGAAGATTGTGGGAATCCCCTCGCTTAATTTTCAAAATGCACATAAACATAAAGCATTGTCGGCAACGAATCACTCAAGATGTCTAACGTACTACTAATAAATAAATAAACGATTTAGTAATAATTTTTTAATTACAAGTGAATAGAACAAATGAACTGTGGTGGTAAATGTGTATGTTTAATGTACAAAGATTACAGTTTCGTTCGATATTTACTAGATCTGGTGGTTTAACAGGAACAGGAAACGACTCTAGTAAATCTACAAACTAGCGAACCTAATGTTGCTCATGCCCAACCTCAAATGGTCAGAGTTTGTTTTACTAATTATATCACGAATGATGTTTTGCATAGTCAAAGCGAACGTTTTTGGTGGAGGATTAATATATTGACAAAACATGCTGAATAAGAGGACAGTTTAAATATGTCATTCTGTTAGTGAATTTCCCTATAAGTAGTTATTACCGAAGGTCTCATGGTAACACCTAGGCCCGGGGCCGATTTACTTTTTTCAATATGATGTCCCCAGAGGCTAAAAACACCATTCGTTCAAATTTTTATATATGTGTCCGTCCGTACGATAACTTGAGTAATTTTTGTCAGATTTTGATCAAATTTAGTTTGAAGGTGTAAGGCAGGGTAAACTTGAATTAGATCGCAAACCAGCATGATTGGACCATGGGAACGGGGTTTAACGGGGGGTTTTATGGGGTAAAAATGTGTTTTTTTACCATTTTTTCCCTTAAAACACAAAATTAAAAAATTTTCAACATGGCCTTTTTAAAGAGCTTAAAAAACAAATAATTTAATATATCAAAGCATTTTTGAACGGTGAATGGTTACGAAGAAAATTCAAAAACATTTTTAATTTAAAATTCTAAAATTAATTTAAATTTCCCACTTTTCAATTGTGTTATTCATTCTCATAGTCGTATGATGGTAGTAGTTATAGCTAGTGCGGTATAAAGTTAAATAAGGTATATTGAGATTAATTCCAAGAATCACTGACCTTCGAAAACATAATACTTGGACTATGGGGAAGGGATTTTATGGGGGTTTTATGGGGTAAAAATTGGGTTTTCCCATTTTTGACCCAAAAAACATAAAATTTAGCAATAATTTCTTTCCAAACTGTTTTGTAGAGCTTAAAAAAAATAATTTAGTATATTGAAGCGTTAGCATGTGCCTAATGGTTACGGATAAAATTCCAAAACATTTTAAATTGTAAATTCCCATGTTCTTATGTAGAGTAAGTCAACTGTTGTAGTTTGCTTGTTTATGAAAATATTTTGATCAAAACTAGAAAATTCATTTATTATTTATTACTAGGGTATTATCCATAAAAACACTTTTACCCTCCCTCTTGCAGCAAACCTAAGTACTTGTTAAACTAATTCTATTTAAATAGGGAATAAATTTTAAGGAGACATTTTTGTGTAAATCCAATCAGGTAAATGGAAATTCGCTTAGTTTGCAGGTTTGCCACGGTGGGGGTTTTCCTCAGATAGTGTCTTTTACACTTTAATATAAATTTAAATCTGTTTCTTCATAAACCTTCCCACAGTTTCTAGAAAAAACCTTTGTATGTTCGGTTGAAATATGTTCAGCCGTCATTGCGTGATAATGTAAGAATGTTTGTATTGTAGTCAATTTCTTTCCTGTCAATGACCTTTCCTAAATTAATGCTAATAATAATATTGTTTGCTTACTACAACGTGTGGAAGGCTGAACACTGGACGCACAGCTGGGTGGAGGAAGAGGTGTAATGTAGGAACAATCTGAAGATACAGAACTCCTGGAAATCAACATACGGCCATATTATGATACTGATTCCGTATTAATTTATAGTAAACCCTCATGTATCCGGCCTAACTTTGGGTCGAAGCTTATGGAATCAAAATAAAACTAACTAAACCTACATACTGCAATAGGCTTCGAAGGTCTAATCTCGGTCTTCAGACATAATCATGAGTTAGATAAGTGATATCGACGACGCAGGACTATTATGGGGCCGTTTCGTACCACCATTGATTAATATAAGATCTTTAAATTAATTATACAATATAATATTAACGTTGAATTGATTGATTGATATAATTGACCCTTTGTATATTCCGAAACACCTTTTACCAAACAAATTGAATTATGTACTAAAAATCATGAAAACAGCAAACTACTGAAGTAAGCATTGTGTGTGTCTACAGTGGCGCGTTCCCAGCCTAGGTGTATAACAGTTTTTTTTAATCGCCGTAAAAGGCTGTCTAGGTTAAGTGAAGTTAATATTTGTGAGTCCAGATAAATTATGTTTGCTGTATCTTCTTGCCCAAATGCAAATTATAAAAATAGAACCATGCCACTTAAAGTATTTAATTAATTCAGCATCCAAACCCAAACGTTAAGCAAACAAAAAAATCTACTTGTTTACAAATCTCTTATTTAACTCTATGCATGGAGTCCTTCAGCTTTAGCCTACGAAACTCACCCAGCTGCTACACTGAACTGTTGTAGCTGACGATATCTATCATGTTGAGATCTCAGCTGTCTAAGGTAGGCAAGCAGGTCACCACAAGGTACATACTCCATGATCATACAATATGGATGAGTCAAGGTACAGCAACCAACCATCGTCACAATATTGGGATGGTGCCCTACTTTTTTCATCATAGATATTTCTTGAAGAAACTCTTCTACCTCATCCACTGTGGCTTTATCTGTAACAAGAGGCTTATTCGATTAGACAGTAAACAAGAAAATATTGCCAGTCAATAGTATACATAAAGCTGTTAGCACTACTCATTTGATTATATCCTAGAACTCTTACATAAGCAATGTTCGCTTTTATGTATGCTTAAACTAAGTTCCTTAAAATGGCTACGATGATTTCCTTCAAATGTTGTAAATGATTTATTTCTGGTCTACAAACGTGTTTCATGCCGTGAAAACTGCTAACGAAAGTCTAATTATGTAAAAAAAAGAAATTGAAAATCAAACATTTTTATCAGTGAGGGTACTTGGGCAACGAAATAACAACGAAAATCGTAAACTTCGAAAAAAGAAAAATATATAAAGTCTTATTATAAACTAACCTTAAAACAAACAGGTCATCAATTTATGACTGGAGGACATTGAAGTTGGTGCGTACTAGTAAACCAGCAGCACCGTTGATTTTATTGGGTTGGCAAGTTATAAAGCTGTTACTAGTCTTTAAAAGTCCCCTTAGAGGGATATTTTCATAAGTTATATACCTACCATTCTACTACTTTTTCCTAAATGAAAATAATAGAAGGAAGAATTGTAAAACTACATGTCTTGTTATCTAAAGACGTGTACGAGGTCACAAAAACTGTTTTCTCAGTTATGTTTCCATTCCTTCTTTCTTTATTTTGCAGAGATGTTTCCCCTTTTATTTCTCTAGCCAATTCCTCTAAGAAGACCGTAAAATGTATCATAATAATTTGCACTAGAATTATTGTTTTTTCTTTTTATAAATTGAAAGTTAAGTTAAGATAAGTTTCGGTTTTGTACTAACACGTATTTAGTTTGTAAGCCTTGGATTCATAACATAGTTTATTATATTTACGCTATTACCAATTTCTGAGTACCACTTCCTAAAGTGTATACGTCACTTACGTTTAAGTTTCTTGACGGCAACAATGGAGCTTCCTGCGACCCCAGCGATGGCCTCAGCTCTGGCCAGGAACACTCGGCCGAAGGCTCCTTTGCCGATCTGCCGGCCTAAGGCCAGTCGATTGTAACTCACTTCATATCCATCGGCCTCTCCCTTCTGCCGAGCTTCCTATAGGAAACACAGAGACAGGACCTAAGGAGTAATCTTTGGAGGCAAGTAATACATGTGAACTAAACCATATTTATGAAACAACAAGTCCAAGCTTCGCACAAGGCATTGACTAGTTTATCTCAACTGTTACATTATGAGCTTGGCTAGTGACGTGGTTAGTGCAAAAGAACTCCTTCTCGGAAAATTGCTGTCATTGTTTGTAAGTAGGTAGGCATATAGTTTTTTTACGTTAATCTGAAGAAACTTGAATTCTCAATTCTTACAAAAAAGCACTACCAACCTATATACATGATTACAAGGAGTATTTGATTAACCAAGTAAAAGATAATCTGCATTCCAAACAAAAGGTTTACCTCTATTTCCTTTTCTACATAAAGAATGTTTCTCTGATGAAGATGCGGAAATGTAACTCTTGCAGATCGTCCACTGAAACAAAATAACATGTTAGAACAATATGTTTAATTTCCGTTGCACAATCTTAAATGAACATTCTAAACACATTATTTTACAAGATATTTTTAATATTTCCACTAAAGATGAATCCTCCTATTACTATGAATAACTGTTACGTAGCACATTCGACTAATTAATGCTAGGCTACAGTTATTGTACAAAAGTAGTAAAACTAGTCCAGCCGATTGGATAACAGTGCATAGTCATAAAGCAGTACTTAATCATCAGGCTTAAACTATCATGGTTAAGAAAACAGCTGGTATTGTAATAGTATATTTCATTACTAGGACCGAAAGTGGCATTTTCCGGCGCGCGCTCAAGTTTTTGTGTGAGGCGAAGCCGAACACAGGGAATCCCAGTTTCACGTGCGAGGCGAAGCCGAGTACGTGAGAGCTATTTTCACGTACGAGGCGAAGCCGAGGACGGGAATAATGGAGCAAGTACCGGATAATAACTTTCGGTACGAGTTATGAACGATACTTTTCATCACGACGCAATAATACACAAACACAGAATAGCAGACCTCAGTAATATTACAATAATTATCCATCAAACAATTTGCTTAAACATAAAAATAAAATAAAATCTTCTAAAAGTAAACCTATGTTCGTTTTTGTTTGATTTTTAAAACATAAAATAAAATAAAATATTCTACAGGAAACCTTCGTACATTTCTCAATACTTCAAACATAAAAATACCCCCGCCGCAGCATACCTGCCGACTAAGCGAATTTCCATTGGTCTGAACTGATTTTCAATTTAAATCTATTTAAATAACATTAGGTTTAACAAGTACCTAGGTTTGCTGTTACAAGAAAACTAATTAAGCGAGTTTTTTAGTAAAATATTAATAGCTTAGTATAAAAGAAATAAATTGGCCAAGTTTAATCCAAATTTATCAATAAACAAGCAAACTACATCATTTTACAATATTCTCCATAAGAATAACATGGAAATTTTAAATTTACAATTTTTGGAATTTTCTCCGTTACCAATAACCGTACAAAAACACTTTGATATACTAAATTATTTGCTTTTTTAAGCTCTTTAACAAGGTCTAGAGAGAAATTGAGAAATTTTGTGTTTTGAGGGTCAAAAATGAGAAAAACCATTTTTTACCCCATAAAAGTCCCCGTAAAACACTGTTCCCATAGTCCGATCATGCTGGTTCGCGAACTCATTCAAGTTTATACCGCCTTACACCTTCAAACCAAATTTCATCAAAATCGGACAAAAATTACTCAAGTTATCGCGTTCACGGACGTATATATATATATATATATATAAATCTATATATATATATATATACATATATAAAAATTTGAACGAATAGTGTTTTTGGCCTCTGGGGACATCAAAATGAAAAAGTAAATCGGTCCCGGGCCTAGGTCTTACCGTGCCACCTACGGTAATAGCTACTTCCCTATAGGGAAATTCGCTAATAAAAGAATAAAACGATTTTGAACAATACATACAGCTGATTTAAATCATTAAGTTAAACCTTAACAAAACACTAGCGCGCGTAGTGAATAAATGGAAAACTAATTGAGAGCGAGGGAAAGTAAATTTAGAGCGAGGGAAAATCAGCTGATCGATTTTCCCTCGCCCTAAATTAGAGCTTGGGAAACGGCTACTTTCATTGATGTCAGCTGTTATCGAAAATAGTTACTTTCGGTGAGGAGTGATGAAAAAATCTTAAAGCTATACGAGGCATCTCAGCCAACCCAGGTCCATCTTTTATTTATATTCAGGTTATAACAGACACAGCTGTGCTTTTGTTATAGAAAATAACATGGTGATTTAGATTATTGTCTCAAAAGAAAATCACATGATATCATTTTAAGTATTAACACTAAAATAATAATGATGTCTTACTACAAACTAATTGCCCAATCGATTTTTTTTTTAAATAAAGTCGGGGTATAAATGAGAATGTTAAAGTAAAATATAATTGTCATGCATTAGTCAAAACGTAGAAAATGAAGTTGTGATTTTTCATCCCACCAAAATGACTATGGCTATCGAATGTCAATCAAATACTGACTAAGGACTGCTGATATTGGCAATTATTTGAAAGTGTGACGTGTTGAATCAAACTGATTGTTATTAGCTGATCAGATTAGCTTATCGAAACATTATTTGTTAAATACTTTATGGACATTTCTCTACATTAAGAGTATTTTAATTTTAGTTAAGTAAAGATTGTCTGCATACACAAGAAGAATTTTGCCTTACGGGTATCAAATTTGAACTGAACCGATACAATCAGTTACCAATTGTAAATAATTTAAATAAATGCCCAAATAATAAATTAAAATAGTTTTCCTAAAAATAACTATTGTATAAGTAGAACAGTTAATTACCCGAAGTTAGATAAAGAAGAAAAATACTATATTTGCCATTGAAGTAAAATTATATTGGAGAAAATCCGTGCCTTTGTTCCTGTATTAGAACAAAGAGAAATTTTTAAAACTGGTTAATGCTTGTGAACAAAAGCATTTGTTGAGCACGTTTTGCCAATACGTCATGGTCATATTTATCCAGAGTGAAACTCTGCAAACTATTGTTGGATCCCTTGTTTCGTTACAAACTGCAAATAACAGCTATTGTTAGTGTTAATAACAGTAGTAATAATTGTGCAGTAATTAAATTTCAAAGTAGTATATATACCACTTTAAAAACTGATTCAAGGAGTAATTAAGTTTGTTAGCGTGATATGTGATTAAGAAACTTGAACTTAGCGATCAATTTGTAATTCCGATCAAAATGCTCTTTGTTGAATGTTTGCTGAAGTTATGCAGGAGATTGCTCAACAGCGCATTCAGCCTTTTAACTTCTGATCAAACCAACTACTTTAACTTTTAAGTGATCAAAGCTTTGGCAGTTGACCGGAGATCAAACTATTACTGGAACTATTCAAGTTCCGTCGGTGGAATTTTATTAGCAGATAGCAGCATACGTCAAATTTGTCTTCTGAAACATCTCACGTGACCCAAAATTTTAAATTGTCTTATTTTAGTAATTAGTGATATAAACATTTTTCATGATAAAAGTATAGGCTATATAAAGCTTATTTTAAACGTTGATTTTGTTCTTGAAAACTACAATTAAAGTAAAAAGTAAATAAATACATTGCAAATATAAAACTATATTTATAAATAGTTCACAGTGTATACAGGTTTTTTTTAGGGAGGATGCGTTTACGCACACTAAGAGGTTTCAATGACCTCGCGTGGTGCCGGAATCCTACGGGCTCAATGTCCCAAGACCTTCGGCTAAAAAATCCCTTAATCTCCTTGGAGACTAGGCTATAACTGTTAAGCACAATCCTTCAGACTAGGCCTTTTTAACTAAGCCACTGGGATTTTTATTTTTAGTTTATCTCTAAGGTTTTCCTAAGGATTTTGCCCACATTTTGGCCTAGGCGAACTGCTCAACACAGCTCCAGGTCCCGCATACCCTAGAGCATAGCTCAAACGATGTTGTTGGGAGTGATGACGCCTGTCACAAAAGGAGAAGGTGTGCTCGGTCGTGTCTCCAATGCCAGGACAGTACAAACAGTCTGAGTTGCCGGCCCGGCACGTATGTACCCGTAACCCGACAAAACCGGTTCACGAAATACCCAATCTTACCATGCTCCCATTCCACCCATGGTCGGATGCTGGGAATAACCCTAGTGGTCTAACACCCCTGGACTCAGCTGGCTGAAGAGGACTAAGTCCTAAAACAGCCTCAGTCCAGTAGGGTTTCTGTTCTCTGGATTGGAACGTCACGAAGAACGAGAACGAACAGCGTTCTATTTGTGCTGCCAGCGGTCGAAACTGCGGTTGTGTTCTTCTCTGGCAGTAGTCTCTCTATATACTTCAGGTCTCCTTGCGGTTACCCGTCTCTCTCTCGCAGAACGGAAGACGGGAATGACACCGGCAGACCGGCTATCACCACAATATTTTGTAGGCAGAAGTAACTTGCAAGGGCCTTCAATGCTGAATGAGAGAAAGCCGGTCACGGAAGACACGCACTTGCCTGGACCTCCGCACCTTACAAGAGCACTGATTGGACGACAGAGTAGATGGTGTTTACCGGAGCGGGAACTGCCTACGTATGACACAAGACTACTGGGCAGCGACACCCTTGGGGGCTTTGTGAATGGTTCGCTTGATCTACTGCCTAGAAGACATCTTGATGACTATCATAAAACTAAGATAAAGGTATTCGGGATATAGCTTGGTCTCCAGTTGGGCATGGTCCACTTGCACTTGCACAGAAAGGACGGTGAGAATCCTCTTCATGGTTAAGATGATGATCTCCGTCTTTCCGACTGCCAGCGACAAGCCGTGAACCTGCATCCGCACGTTCAAGGTCGATTCACACACATCAGTTACGGCACGTCGCAGTCCAGTCACTTCAGGCACGACACAGTTAACAAAAATATTCTTTAATGGATTTTCTATTGCGCTATCTACACTCATCCGTTGCAGTTCCGTCAGTCGCTCTGCCGGCATCTGTCAGTCAATTTCATATTTCTTTTCAACGACATTTTGGGATTGTTCGGACGCCTGACGGACGTTTGAGGTTTGAAAATAGTACTTTTTTATTTAAATTATGAAGTTTATTGTGTTTTAATTAAACATTTTTGACTGTAACAAGACTGTAAATAAAGTGACGGAAGAGTGACAGAAACAAAAGATTGACAGTTTGACTGAGAAATTGCGGATGCAACTGTGACTGGACTATAACTGGACTGTAACGGAACTGTGACTGGACTGATATGTGAGAATCTACCTTTACTCTGAATATCAATACTCCGAGTTTTGTCTCTTCCTCTTGCAACCAGAGACGCAACGTCGTCGACGTGGCCAACTAGGTTGGGTCTCATCGATAATTTTGAGTCTTAGTACACTGTCGTGTACTAAGACGGTTCGTGTGAAAGGCGGTTTCACACTGGCGCGGACGGATCCGAAAATAAATCTCTGCCCATGTTATCAGATGGGACCGTTCACACCGCCCATTGAAACGTAGCGTCCATCCGCGGATGCAGAAATTCGTCCGTGGACGATTTGGCGGAATCGGTCTGGGAGCGATTTTTCTAAAACGTCCGCGGACGATCACGCCCTCGCGCACGCGCAGACAGAGCACCAAACCACGTGTAGCTCTCAGCGAGGCATGTGTTACTCGCATCACAGTGTTTAGTAGTTTGTGTTTACAGTCATAGTGTTCGTCTAGTTGTTGTTTTGTGTCCTCCCTTGTTGTTTGTTATGGCTGAATTAATTGAGGCTGTCCGTGCCTACCCAGTTATCTGGGATGCAACTATAGAAATTTATAGGGATCAACAAGAGAAAGATAGAGTTTGGTTGGAAATTGAGACTACACTCCAAAGAGATAGTCCTAACCAATAACCATGTATATTTATACGAATTACTGTACGTACAGTAAATCATTATTATAATGATTTGTATTGTAGGGTATTAGTAGCATATATTGCGTTACTATTTCTGAAAGTAAGTGTTTACCGGACGAGTGTGGATTACCATACGAGCCAATTTACCAACTTCCCTATGCGCATGCGCGAATGAGTGGACGTTTGAAACATAGCTCGCAATGTGAAGGGACGTAGCATCCATCCGAATCATTTCATCCGTCCGCGGACGCCAGTGTGAAACCGCCTTAAGACACGTTCCAGAGATCGGGTCCTAGGATCCCTATGCAGTCCGAGAGGTGATGGAGATCCAATGCTGACCCTTAGTTATGTCAAAAATAAAGACATGGTTTGAAAGGTAGGACTCGATCATTCGCAGGAGGTAACGCGGAACGTGTGCTCGCAGCATATCGCTCCACTTGGAGGAGTTGAACGCGTTCCTCAAGCCAAGAAATGACGAGAATAATCATGCGACCAGTGATTATATTCCACACCCTAGACACTGCCTCAACTACCTGCTAAATACCATCAATGGCCATGTGGCCGGAACTAAAACCGTGCTGCTGCTGGGGAAACTACGCGCAGAGACTAAAGCCTTGATCAGTCTGACACGAATTAGCTTCTCCGCTTTGCCGGTGGTGTCGAGTATACAAAGGGGTGGAGAGCCAAGAAGGCCATTTTCCATGCCAACAGAAAAACACCTCCTGCCAAGCAGGTTTTTTATCTGTCATAGAACCTTAGGCGTTTTGACTTAGATCAAATCCATTAGTAATTTGAACTCGGGACCTCGGAGACCAAATTCCTGCGCTTTAACCAGTAGATCAACTCGCTCCCCTAAGCCAAGCAGGTGTTCAACTTATCCAAAAGTTGCTTTGGATTATACTCAACGACGAGCTTGAGGATTTCCGCATAAATGCCAACAGGGCCGGCTGCTCTTCGGTTTCTAAGGGATTGGAAAGCTGAAAGGACAGTTTATATATGTTTGAAATATTCTTTTCTTAGAACACAACTGGAGCTAATCTTTCAAAGAAGAACATAGGCTTGATATGACTTTATAAATCTGTATATAATAATCTTTATAAATCTAAATCTTTATAGGCTTGTATTCCTTTCTGAATTTTTCGGGCCCATTTTTTTTTTTAATAGGCTTCCTGAAGAAGTAAAGCAGTGCAGTTCAAGGTTGGGCTCTAAAAGTTTTGAGAAACTACTGAAAAATTATTTGGTGGAAGGTGAGTTTTATAGTACCGAAGAATTCCTGTCTGCCTGATCTCATTCAACATGGCATTTTTATTTGACTTATTTGTTTAAATCTTTAGAATAAAATAGATTTAACTAATTATTTTTCGTTTTGATTTAAATGCTACTAGACCATATAATGTATTTGACGATAGAGATGTGCATTGTATAATTTGTACCCAATTCATGAATAAAATATGTCTATGTCTATGTCTATATTTATGGAAATCAAAGTTAATCCTAAAGCATGAGTTGAACCAGGCTTCAGACCTTATTTGCACCAAAACCATGAATCTTAACACGGGTCAAAAATGTTTGAACTACTACGTAAAATTGTATTTAACAATCATATCATGCACAACTGAATAGAGGGATAAGGATAAAAGTGTTAATTATATTTTAAAACATTTAGAACGAAAGCATTCATCTATTGACTTGCTTTGAAAGACATCTAGCCTTACAGGACGTTACGTAAACCATTGTATGGCGCAGCAATGACAATATCTTGTTTACTATCCTGTTTCTCTAAATCTTAGTACTCCCCGGCACAGGTCACTAGTTAGTTCTTGCCCGTCACAGTTTTAATAACTTCTTATATTTTTCACAGGCAAACTCACTAGTTCTCATTTTTAACCGACTTCCCCACTACCCACAAAAGGAGGAGGTTCTCAATTTGTTTGTGGCGATGTTTTTTTTTCTATGTATGTTCACCAATTTCTCTGTGATTCTTTTACCGATCAGTGTGGTTCCACCACCAAAATAACCAGGAGAGTTTCTATTTGGTACCTTATATATTATGTTTAAGTATAATATTTGTTTCGGTGAAACATTCTGAAAACCTTAAATATTCAACATTTATTTTGTTTACATTTGTGCAGATTGTTTACATTTGTGCAGAGAAGGCAATAAATAATAATAACATTCCTACAGCTGTTAGTTGAAACCATTTAAATTAAGCTACAGACAATTCTTCATGAACCAGTTGCTTCATATTGATCAATAAACTATTTTTTGCCATGGAGCCTAAATGAATTACATTGAGAAAAATGCAATTTGTTTTGGTTACTATAAAAAATTTATTTTAACGTTTGACCTGATTTGTGTATACAGTAATTCTGTTTTTAGTATTGAATATTCTGACTTACAAAAACATATATGTTTCAGTGAATAGCTGTATGATATTGACAAATAAAGGTGTATTGTGAAAACCAAAGCATTCGTAAAACAGGTCTAAATATAAATTAAATGCAATTATTCCTTACACGACCTAAGAAGTGTGACAGTACATAATCGTCAATTGTCTTAAAAGTGTTAAATATTTTAATTACTAAACATGCATTTGCAGATGTGGAATGTGTATTAATATTCTCTACCCAGTTACTATAACATATCAATACTATTATGCCTGCTTCGGAAAGTCCTAGAGGAAGATGATTTGCAATTTCGACTAGGCTACATCTTGAGCAAACAAAACCCCCCTACATGACTTACACCACTTTTAGCTGAACCAATCTATATAATATTTTCCAAAGGTACTATACGTGTTAACGACCAATTTTCCACTTTTGAGAGATTTTTTAGTGCTGGTGGCTGAGGAATAACTTTCATATTGTTCCAAAAGGCTTGAGACGTTACTGTATTTCTTTTTATAATGTAGAAGTACACCGATTGCAGGAAACGATGATGTCTGACATTTCAATGTATCTAGAAAAGACAATTAGTTTTTCATTAGGCCTAATGTAATGGACAACTCTTTCTTTCTTAAGGAATATCTAAAAATGTTTATTTTCATACCCATTGATTATGTAACCTGAACAGGTGACTCAATCAGTTTTAAAATAATGATTGTTCTGTGGAACTTTTGATTGTTTCAAACAGTTTTGCTTATCAAAAAACCTCAAGTAATTAATATATAAGAAATTATACAGTCACTAAAAATCATTAAATCATTTATTTTTGTAAAAAATACAACCGACTCCAAAACGCTCTAAAAAGAATGAAATAATTTTAATAAAGTAAACTTTTGTATTAGGCAAGCTCACGTATTTCAAGTCGGCGCTGCTCAAACTGCAAATATGATTGAAATTAAATATTGTGTGTGTATTTTGAAAATCAATAAATTGTAGCTGGATAATATAAATATATAAAAAAACATATTGAACTGTTTTGTTTGTATATTAAAGGAAATATTTTCTTGTATTTTATGTTTACTTCAGAATAAATGCATTATGAAAATAACACACACAAATGTTCTATATGAATAGGAAAATAATTTAGTTTGATATTATGATAGGGAAAAGAAGCTAGTTTAGTATTAAAACGTTACTTTTCCAAGTTAGAAACATTTAATTGCGTTATAATCTTTTTAAAGATACTCGTTAATACCACTATAATGCCGATCTCTGATTACGGTAATAAAATAACACTTAACGCATAACTATGAAAAATACATGCAGATTAACAACTTTAGTTATAGATAGTCACCTGCAACATGGACACCCTCTTTCAATTTTGTATCAAAAATCATCATAGAGCCGCACCGACTTAAAATACGTGAGCTTGCCTAATAATACAAAAGTTTACTTTATTAAAATTATTTCATTCTTTTTAGAGCGTTTTGAAGTCGGTTGTATTTTTTACAAAAATAAATTATAAAGTACCGTTTTAAAGTATCGTTATGATATAACTGACCTATCCAAACTGATAGGCTTGTATATCCCAGTCCAGTGAGGCGGCTGCGGATGAAGACGGCGATTGAGCCAGAGAAAACAGCGTTGCCACATCTTCACCAGAGCTACACACAAGGCTAGAGCCACAGTCACACTTGGCAACATTGTCATCCACACTACCTGTAAAGGGTTACAGTGTTTAGACGATTAAGGCATTATGGACTATGGGGATGAAAATGGCAAGTGAATCACATATCGTAGCATTGTTGTCTATGTATCAGAACTAGAAACATGGATAAAACAACAATATCTATTGATTACGTAATAAAATGCAATGTTTTGAAAATGATTAATCTATTTACCTCATTTTTCGTGAATCCAGTTACAGCTAATTCGTTGTTTTCTGAAACTAGAAAAATGCTTAGCATTAAAACCCTCCTCAAACATGTAGATTTTGTTATTTTAGATAATGCTTTACTTAAACCTATACATTATAATAGTCTGAATAAATTACTCTATATATATGTTTAATAATCCTACCATATTTAATGTTGTATACCTGGACGATTATGATGTATTCATTATGTAACACCCCAAATACAAATATCAACTATGCCAAGAAGCGATTTAGCTCATAGATGAATTTGAATTTGAAATGCCTTAGGCCCACCACATTATGTATCAAGTGGTACACACTCCTGGGTGGCTTTGCGGTAATCTCACCAGTAAATGTATGATTGCCAACAGATCCCCAACATTGCCTTGAGTCCACCACCTTGACAGATGCCATGTAATGCCCAGGACCCGCCACTTCATGCAACAAGTGGTACACACTCCTGGGTGGCTTTGCGGGAATCTCACCAGTAAATGTATGATTGCCAACAGATCCCCAACATTGCCTTGAGTCCACCACCTTGACAGATGCCATGTAATGCCCAGGACCCGCCACTTCATGCAACAAGTGGTACACATTCCTGGGTGGCTTTGCTGGAATCTCACCAGTAAATGTATGATTGCCAACAGATCCCCAACATTGTCTTGAGTCCACCACCTTGACAGAAGCCATGTAATGCCCAGGACCCACCACTTCATGCAACAAGTGGTACACACTCCTGGGTGGCTTTGCGGTAATCTCACCAGTAAATGTATGATTGCCAACAGATCCCCAACATTGTCTTGAGTCCACCACCTTGACAGAAGCCATGTAATGCCCAGGACCCACCACTTCATGCAACAAGTGGTACACACTCCTGGGTGGCTTTGCGGTAATCTCACCAGTAAATGTATGATTGCCAACAGATCCCCAACATTGTCTTGAGTCCACCACCTTGACAGAAGCCATGTAATGCCCCGGACCCGCCACTTCAAGCAACAAGTGGTACACACTCCTGGGTGGCTTTGCGGTAATCTCACCAGTAAATGTATGATTGCCAACAGATCCCTAACATTGTCTTGAGTCCACCACCTTGACAGAAGCCATGTAATGCCCAGGACCCGCCACTTCATGCAACAAGTGGTACACACTCCTGGGTGGCTTTGCGGGAATCTCACCAGTAAATGTATGATTGCCAACAGATCCCCAACATTGTCTTGAGTCCACCACCTTGACAGAAGCCATGTAATGCCCAGGACCCACCACTTCATGCAACAAGTGGTACACACTCCTGGGTGGCTTTGCGGTAATCTCACCAGTAAATGTATGATTGCCAACAGATCCCCAACATTGTCTTGAGTCCACCACCTTGACAGAAGCCATGTAATGCCCAGGACCCACCACTTCATGCAACAAGTGGTACACACTCCTGGGTGGCTTTGCGGTAATCTCACCAGTAAATGTATGATTGCCAACAGATCCCCAACATTGTCTTGAGTCCACCACCTTGACAGAAGCCATGTAATGCCCCGGACCCGCCACTTCATGCAACAAGTGGTACACACTCCTGGGTGGCTTTGCGGTAATCTCACCAGTAAATGTATGATTGCCAACAGATCCCTAACATTGTCTTGAGTCCACCACCTTGACAGAAGCCATGTAATGCCCAGGACCCGCCACTTCATGCAACAAGTGGTACACACTCCTGGGTGGCTTTGCAGGACTCTCACCAGTAAATGTATGATTGCCAACAGATCCCCAACATTGTCTTGAGTCCACCACCTTGACAGAAGCCATGTAATGCCCCGGACCCGCCACTTCATGCAACAAGTGGTACACACTCCTGGGTGGCTTTGCCGGAATCTCACCAGTAAATGTATGATTGCCAACAGATCCCCATTATTGTCTTGAGTCCACCACCTTGACAGAAGCCATGTAATGCCCCGGACCCGCCACTTCATGCAACAAGTGGTACACACTCCTGGGTGGCTTTGCAGGACTCTCACCAGTAAATGTATGATTGCCAACAGATCCCCAACATTGCCTTGAGTCCACCACCTTGACAGAAGCCATATAATGCCCCGGACCCGCCACTTCATGCAACAAGTGGTACACACTCCTGGGTGGCTTTGCAGGACTCTCACCAGTAAATGTATGATTGCCAACAGATCCCCAACATTGTCTTGAGTCCACCACCTTGACAGAAGCCATGTAATGCCCAGGACCCACCACTTCATGCAACAAGTGGTACACACTCCTGGGTGGCTTTGCCGGAATCTCACCAGTAAATGTATGATTGCCAACAGATCCCCAACATTGTCTTGAGTCCACCACCTTGACAGAAGCCATGTAATGCCCCGGACCCGCCACTTCATGCAACAAGTGGTACACACTCCTGGGTGGCTTTGCGGGAATCTCACTCATCCAGCTGGTGTTGAATACTGGCTTCAGGTTGGATGAACGCATCATCTCTTTCCCCACTCTAGGAAAAGGAAAGCTTATTAGTTCAAAACATGATTGATGCTTTCTACAACTAGTAAAATCTATTTTAATAAGGTTTACGATGTGGCATCATATAATAAAATAATGGATGCAATCTCTTTCCCTACTAAGAGTTTTCATTCAAAGTCTTGCCTTACTAGGATTATCGAGCTCTTATTAGAAATTTCCAAATGGAAAGAGGTTTTAACAGTACTTCTACGGGTTTTCATCTATAAACAAAATCATAATTTGCCCTCGGAATCATATTATTTTTGGGCTTTCTTGCGAATTTCTCATGTAGGGAATAAGCTATTACGACTTGCACTGTAGAGTTCAAGTGAATTTATATTTCTTGTTTTAGTCTGTTTTTAGCAAATTTCCCTATAGGGAAGTAGCTATTACCGTAGGTCTCATGGTAAGACTTAGGCCCAGGACCGATTTACTTTTTCATTTTGATGTCCCCAGAGGCCAAAAACACCATTCGTTCAAACTTTTATATATGTATATATATAAATATATATATATATATATATATATATATATATATATATATATATAGATTTATAAAAAAATGTGTCCGTGAACACGATAACTTGAATAATTTTTGTCCGATTTTGATGAAATTTGGTTTGAAGATGTAAGGCGGGATAAACTTGAATGAGTTCGCGATCCAGCATGATCGGACCATGGGAACAGGGTTTTATGGGGGGTTTTATGGGGTAAAAATTGGTTTTTCTCACCTTTGACCCTCAAAACACAAAATTTCCCAATTTTTCTCTAAACCTTCTTAAAGAGCTTAAAAAAACAAACAATTCAGTATATCAAAGTGTTTTTGTACGGTTATTGGTTACGGAAAAAAACTAAAAAAATTGTAAATTTAGAATTCCCATGTTATTCTTATGGAGAATATTGTAAAATGTTGTAGTTTGCTTGTTTATGGATATCTTTTGATCAAACTTGGCAAATATATTCATTTTCAACTAAGCAATAATTATTTTACTTAAAACACACACTTTATTAGTTTCCTTGTAGCAGCAAACCTAGGTACTCGTTAAACCTAATGTTATTTAAATAGATCGATTGAAAATCAATTCAGCCAAATGGAAATTCGCTTAGACGGCAGGTTTGCTGCGGCGGGGGTATTTAGTTTCATGATGGGTAGCCTCTGGACCATACAGCAACAATAATAATGGTTTAGTTTACCTCTGTCAATATGGTCCTTGCGTAGTTTGTCACTACTGCAGTTTCGTGCTCGTGGAGCACATCATCAGGTGAAGGTCACAACAAGTTAAAACATTTTCCTTACGTGAAGGTCGTCAATTTAACACACCGAAAAAACACATAACACACGAACGGTACGAAAAAACACATACCCCCGTAAAACACATGGACCCCGTGTGTAACGTCTTTAATGTATTGGCCAAGTTAAATGTTTTTTCGTACCGTTCGTGTGTTAGGGCCATGTCATACGAGCGCTATTGCCGTCGCGCTGATGCCGTCGCGTTTAAGTCGCTCCAACCCGGCAATGGGGTTCTTATGGAGCATGTCATACGGACGCTAATGCCGTCGTCGAGTCCGCGTAGCCGGACGCTGAGCGCTGCCAACGCGGACGGTCGCGTTAGCGACGCGGCGCACATAACGCGGGACCCTGTCATACGAGCGCTAGCGCCAGCGGGACGCATTTGCCGCGTGAGCACTGTCAGAACAACAACTGGAACACCTTTGGAGTGATCATTACGATATTTGATACGATGTTTAATACGGAAAAATGTATTTAATTAGTTGAAAAACTGCCACCTCTGTACGATGTAAAGTCGAGTGATTACAGCAACAGGCAACTGAAGGCACAGTGCTGGATCGAGGATTGGGAGGCCATGCACGAAAACTGGAATCAGATGTGGAAATCAGTTTCACTTGTTTTATATTTAATAAAATAATGCTGTCCCTTTGATTAAAATGATACTCTTCATATGTATCTAAAATGTGCAAAAAGCTGATACAACCTAACTGGATGGTGTCCATCTTTGCCGTGACGGCAAATGCGCCCGGAAGACGCTACGTATGACAGGTACCTGGCGTTGGCGGGACGGCATCAACGCGACGCATTTGTCGTCACGTATGACATGTACTTTTTTCGGCGCTACCTCGACGGCATCTGCGCGACGGCAACAACGCTCGTATGACATGGCCCTTATGTGTTTTTTCGGTGTGTTAAATTGACGACCTTCACGTAAGGAAAATGTTTTAACTTTTTGTGACCTTCACCTGATGATGTGCTCCACGAGCACGAAACTGCAGTAGTGACAAACTACGCAAGGACCATATTGACAGAGGTAAACTAAACCATTATTATTGTTTTTTAGTAATTAACTTATAACGTTCGTGTTTCACTGTAAAAAAGAGCAACGTTAATAATGAAACTTTATCGTTTTATACATGTTACAAAGAGTTTCAGGGCACATCTTTGTTTCCTGGGATTGAAATTAGAGATATCAAACCTCCTATTGCAGGATTTTGAACACATTCTTTAATCACAAAAGAAATAAACACTTTTCTATAGACGTACACATTTATTAGAGGGTTTCAGAAAACGCTATGTTTTCGTTTTAACTAGTCAAATCTCACATAATGATCTAATTGGTAATTTGTTTTGCTTTGCTCCAACCGTGATGGATAAAATATAGTTTACTGCTTTCAGGGAACAACCAGTAACTACAATAATGAGAAGTGTCAGTAGGTTGATGAAAATTCCAATTTCCGATTTGTTGGAAATTACATTGTTACATTTGATTGCTTGACGTTTCTAATACGTATCAACCCACCAATTAGCTCAACAAATTATATTACATTGGGTTGTATTTATTTTTAAAGTTATATTTTTTTTATTTTATAACAATGCCATTAACTATAGGAAACGTTTAATATGGTATATTATAACCTTAAGTAAAAATACACAGTCGTTTTTTAAAATGTATTGTTATGGTCCTTTGAAAAACTTGGCCAAAGCTAACAGTTTATTGATAAATCTCAAATTATTCAGTAAGTCCTGTATTTTTTTTTTATAAAATGATCAAATGAAGTAATTTAGTTAATGACCCAAATGTGTTCAGAAATAATACCAATGCGGTAACTGTTAATGAGTATTACAAGCTTTGCTCTTTGAACCAAGTAACATTTATTTTCATTAGCTTACAACTGTATAAACTCTTCAACATAAGCTGTTATTTAACTCCTTTAGTTGTTTAGTTTTCACATTTCTCATTCCAACAAGACAAATTTGTCGATATCTCTATGGTTTAGCAATTTATTTATTTTACATATAATAAACGTGGTAAAATGTATTTTACAGTAAATTGGGCTTACGATCTTGTTTACTTCTTTTAGCCTTTGGAATATCCTTTTAAAAATTATCTACAAGAATATTTTTTTAGTAGGTAATCAACGTGTTACATGGTATTCAATTGTGTTTCAGTTTACATGGTGTTCAA